CCTACTGCCGGGGAAAGGAAGGGAGGGAGGGAAAAGCGAGAGAGAGCAGGAGGGGAGGGAGGAGGAGGAAGGGAAAGGAGGAAAAGAAGGGGGGAGCGGCACAGCGCGCAGGAAGCCAACCCACTCGCCGTCGCGGAACAGGCGGGACTTGGCCCGGAGTGCCGAGGCCGCCGCCGCCGCCCGCCAGCTCGTTCGCTCGGGCAAGTTGGAGGGCAGCTGGCTGGGGGCCGACGGCCCGCGCTCCCCTCTCTCCAGTTCCACCTGAAAGGCAGGGCGGGAGGGCAGGCTGGCCGGGCCAGCTCCCCCTTCCGTCTCCCCCTCCGCCTCCTGCTCCTCTTCCACCACCACCGCCACCCTCGACTGAGCCTCTGCTAGCAATCAAAGCGGCCCCAGCGCCGCCGCCCTGCAGCTGGGACGCGAGGGCGCAGGGCCTATTGCATAACCCAAGCATGCGCACGGCGAGACAGGCGGGAAGAAAGCGTAGAGGAGGATTGGACAAGCCGCGGCCGCGCAAGCGGAAATGAGGGAGGGGTGGCCGCGTGAGTGGCGGGTGGCTGCGAGGGATGCGAGTTGGAGGGGGTCTGAGAGCAGCGAGGAGAAGGAGCGGGCGGGGGAGGGAGGAATCCCTGGGGCTCGAGGAGAAGCGAGCGTTCCGTGGCTGGAAAGCCGCGGGCCTCTCGCGGCCGTGCGGTCGGCCTGAACAGCGTAAGCCTCGCTCGGTGAGGCTTCCTGCCGGATAAGTATGCGTAGGATTGCTAATGTTTATTATACGTGCAGAGACCCTCACGTCAAGCTCGATTCCCATGACCGCACCTTATAAAATGAACCCCTCTGCGAAGGAGCGTACCTCAATTCCTCTCTTTTTATGTTTGTGAAGGTATTACGAGGTACTAGGAATTGCATTTATATTCCGTGCCTAAGTCATGCACAATAATGTGTCAAACATTAGGCAATTTCATGCAGTTTTGTGTGTAAGTAAATTCATTATTTCTATAAAATGAGCTCAACTAATTCATTTAAAATACCTTTGTAACTTTAAGGCACAGCTCAAGATACAAGATTTACAAAACTGAAAAATAATATATAGAGAGCTCTAATTGGTACTTAAAATGCATTTGAAATAACACAAGGTTCACAAAAAATCAAGAAATTATAGTGTTGGAATGAACCTCAAAGGTCATCTGATCCAACCCTGTTTGGTGCAAGATTTGCTAAAATGTTTCAGATAGATGGTATGCAGCTTCATTGAAGACCTCCAGTGAAGAAGACCATGCCAGTTCAGGAGTCAGCCTATTCCATTAGCTGGCAGTTCTCCTATTATCCATTAGTTGACAATTCTCCTACTATCTAACTTTAATTATTGGTTCTGGTCCTGCCCTCTGGTTCTGCTCATCCATCCTGAAACTGCTTTGCACACCTGTTTAGGAATTCCATAGCTGTACAAAGATCAGTTGGAAGAAATGAGATCAAGCCAAATTTCTGACTTTTCCCAGAATATCCATATAGAACAATTGTTAAACTGGGGATAATTTAGGCATATCCTGGGAGTAATGGAGCAATTTGTAATTGCTTGCTTGTGAGTTGATCCAGTTTGGGACTGCTACTGCTGAGATACTTGTGTAAAACAAGACTTTTTTATTTGTAACATTATTCAAGACTGGGAAAAGGGGTAATTGGGTCAAACAGTTTAAGAACCATTGATATAGGAGCTGGTGAGTTCTAGGCCTCCCTTAGGCATGCAAGCCAGCTGGGTGACTTTGGGCTAGTCACACACTCTCAGCCCAACCCACCTCACAGGGTTGAAGTGGGAAACTAGGAGGCAGGACTATTAGCTAAGTTCGCCACCTTGAGTTATATATAAAAGGCTGGATAAAATAATAATAATAAATAGAAGTAGAAGTAGTTCTCACAGACTGACTACAAACAATGACATGACACAGTAGCAACAATGGTGCATTGGAATATCTCCAAGAAAGACCATTTGCCTGCAAGCAAGAACTGGTGGGACCACAAAATGGACCAAGTAATAGAAAATGAAGAAACTAAAGTGCTCTGGGACTTGAGAATTCAAACAGACAAGCACCTGCCACACAACACCCCAGACTTAACAGTTGTTGATAAGAAAGTCTGAACATTGCAATGCCTGGAGACAGCAGAATAGAAGAGAAAGAACTGGAGAAAATCACAAAATATAA